TATATATATATATACACAGGCATTTTTTCCTTTAGACGTATTTGCAGGATAAAGATAGGAGTTCTCTCTTGGCCATGCCATATTGTGATGATGGTCATTTTATATAGTCAACATTTTCTAATGTTCAACGATTGTGCTCATTTTATAAGTTTTTAGGGAGTGGAAAACATCAATGGAAATTTCAGAATACATAAAATCTTAGGCAATTGGGGGGTCATCAGTACACATTAATTCAGTATCTCTCACTGTTAAAGAGCTTTCTGGAGCATATTACCAGGAACTATATGATAAATTCATTTTCTTTAGCCCTGAATAAAGCTTATATAAAGCAGTCTAAGTAGGAAAGTGAAATGGCAATAGTATCTAGGGTATTGTCAGTCAAATTTAAAAATAAGACTTTGAGTGGAGTTATTGTTTTCACCCTCAAGGTAGAACACTGAAAGTCAGATTAAATTATATATAACCTAAATCCATTTGAAGTTTTATATTATTTTTTCTTTCTTTAAAAAAAATTCTTTATAATAGATCATAAAAATACCACCATGCATTTCTAAAATTATGTCTTTTGCGGAAATGTTTACAGGGTACTACTAAACTGAATCTATAATAAAATTTCATTAGCAAGAAATCCAAGGTCCTGTAATTTTTCATTTATCGAACAGAATACATAACATGCTAAATGAATAGTCTCTCACAAAGATGCATAGCTGTGGGGTAATTTCTTTTCCAGTATAGTAGAAATCTCGAAGAGACATCTTTACATGTAAATGATATATTTAAAAATTATAGATTTTGCTATGGATACACATAAGAATAATTTCTGAAGTATTAGAAAAAAGTGAGGTTTGTATTATTTCAATAGTAATAAGGTGTATATGAAAAGTTATGTGTCAAATTTGTGAATGTCATTATAAATAAATTTGTATATCTGGTGAGAATAAATTTTAAAAACTCTAGTAATCTAGTTTGCCCTAATATTTTTATTAATACATATTAAATAGGTTTTATGAAAAGTCAAGTCGTGTCAGTTTCAGTGCTAATATTGAAAGAGAGAATTATTCATTCATGATTTTGGGGGACAATTCAAGAAGTTTTAGAATGACTTTCTTTTAAAAAGGACTTCAGAGGCATGTTTTTCTAATTCAGAAACTGGAAATTAACTGCTATGGCAAATAGAACTGTCAGATTTTTCTAAATACATTATTTTTGAAAAATGAATTCATCTCTCATTGGGAAAAATAATATATGTTAAATATAAACTTAAAATTGTCCTCGAAGAATTATATAAAAAGGTGTTCTATATTCTACATGTGTTTCCCAGTCACAAAAACTGGATCACAAATTAGCCTCCTGTGTAATAACATAGCATACATTTATTTAGAAAAATAAAGGGAAAAAAAACTAGATCATTGAAATCTAAATGGTAAAATATCACTACTAAGTTACATAGTGATCTTTTTATATACACAACTTGCCATACTGTTTTAAACTTTAAATATGAGCAGTATTAACATGTGAAAAAATTGGGCACTGTCAGGTATCAGGGGCATCCTAGGTGATCAAATGGTAGGCTAACCTTTGGGAAGGCCAGAGTGAGAGATCAGCAAGTCAGCCTCAGATAGCCAAGAGGACTTTGAATACTGAAGAATTAGAGGACAAAGCATGAACTCCAGTGTTTGGAGAGCCATAGATGTGCAGGTCAGTTTAGCAGCAACAGTGTGAGAAGTCACGGTGCCTTACTGAGCTCGTGAGCCAGTGGCATAGACGTGTTGGTCAACCCCCTTGTCTGGCAAGGATTAGTCTTCAAATGCAGGCTAGGTCTAGGTCTACAGGTGACATTTAGTAGCTCAGCTTGACCACAAAATTTAAATTTAGTGATATGGACCCAAGCAGACTAATATACACAATTAGGGGGATTTCCTGCTATAATTTTCTTTTTAAAAAATTCTGATTATCATCCAAGAAGATAAAGTATTTAGGAATAAATCTAATCAGAGACATAAAAGACCTATACAATGAAAACCACAAGACACTACTGCAAGAAAACAAAAGATACCTGCATAAGTGAAAAAACATCCCTTGCTCATAGAAAGGAAGACGCAACATTGTGAAAATGTCAATTCTACTCAAAGTGATCTACAGATACCATGCAGTCTCGATCCAAATTCCACCAGCATTTTTTAATAAGATGGAAAAACAAATCACCAACTTTGTATGGAAAGGGAAGAGGCCCCAGATAAGTAAAGCATTATTCAAGAAGAAGAACAAAGTGGGAGGCCTCACACTACCTGATTTTAGAACCTATTATACCACCACGATAGTCAAACAGCCTGGTTCTGGTACAACAATGGATACATAGACCAATGGAACAGAATTGAGAATCCAGACATAAATTCATCCACCTATGAGGATCTGATATTTGACAAAGGCCCAAAGTCTGTTAACTGGGGAAAAGACAGTCTCTTTAACAAATGGTGCTGGCATAACTGGATATCCATCTGCAAAAAACTGAAACAAGACCCCTACC